CCCCCCTCCCCGCCAAGCTCGCCTGCGTAAAACCCTCACCCCGTTCTCTGCCTGTTCCCACATCCTGTCCGACTTCAGCCCTAGGGCTGGAAGGAACTTGCTCTCCTCAGTCAACCCCGAATGTTAGCGCTGCCTCTTTCCCCGAGAGAGTGGGGGCGGGGACGGTGCCGGGCTCCGGGAGGCCGGTCCCCTGGGGCCACCTTCGCCCAGAGTGCACCGAGACATTACTTCGGGAAACGGGAGGCAGCCGGCAGAGGTGTGCGTAGGGAGAATAAACCGGTGGGCTTGGATTCTCTGACTCCCTGTGCGGGTGCCAGGATCTCCAGATCCCTTTTGACAATTAGGACACTATTTACAACCCACAGTATGCGGGAATTGCAAATCCCTGGCCCTCAGGTTGAATTTGGCCTATAGAGATGTTTAATTTGCTAGCACAAGGTTTAATTTTTTTTATGTGATTCCAGTTGGCAAGTCCTTTTCTCTCCCTACTCACTCATTTTCATGAACTGCTGGCTAAAGAACTTGAGTACGCCACCTCCTCTCCAGCTACCAGCACCGGATCCCCAATTTTAGATGCCAGAACAAGGTTCGCCATCTGGCCTGGGAAGGGGGGGTTATTCTTACTTCCCGGGTGCCAAGCCACGCACCTGGTTTTTTGAGCCTGGTTTCTGCTCAGANGCACACTCACGGTTGCACACGTGCCGCGAAGTCCTCGGAAGCCAGCGGCGTGGGCACCGAAAGATGCTGTGACGCGCAGATTCTCTTCCCCGCAACGTTTACACGCACACACACCTGCGCACACCTGTTCAAATCAGGCGGGCTCGTCCAAGGGGACGAGCAGCTGTCTCAGGAGTCACCGCTCGGGCGACCCGTGCTCCCCCCGCCCGGAAAGGCGCCCAAAGGTTGTGGCCTCGGCTGAGGTGGGCGAGGGTCTGCTGAAATCCCGAAGCTGGCCAGCCGCCTTGAGCGGACCAGGATGGACATTAGAGGGACCCCGACACCGCCTCGGTGCGGGAAAGAAGGGGCGGAGACTCGGCGGGGCTGCGCGGAGGCCCCGCCTCCGTCAGGGCGCGGGT